GTTTGGCCACGTGCGGGCAGGTAATTTTTGTTTTTCACAATTTTTCATGTTGGAAATCCTTTTTTTGTTTCATCATATAGTTTTCTTGCCACATGCAAATATAACACTATTTAATTTTAGAATTCCTTTAATATTTGCAGTTGTGTACACCGTAGAGTTTCAAAAGCGTGGATTGCCGCATGCGCATATCGTTGTATGGATTTCACAAAGGCAGAGGAATGTATTTTCCTCAGATATAGACAAAATAATATCTGCAGAGATACCTGATGAAAATTTTGATCCCGCTTACTATAATGCAGTCAAAGAATTGATGATTCATGGGCCATGTGGACTGATGAACATGTCTTCACCATGTATGGATAAAGGGCATTGCACGAAGCATTTTCCTAAAAAAAATTCCCAACGGACGACCATTGATAAGAGTGGTTACCCAAAATAAAGGAGGAGAAACAATGGAAGGTCTGTTGAGAAAAATAGCCATCATATGGACAATAGATATGTTATCCCACATAATCGTACTTTGCTTCTCAAGTATGGAGCACACATCAATGTGGAGTGGTGTAATCAATCACGATCAGTCAAGTATCTCTTCAAGTATATAAATAAAGGCGATGATCGGATAACTGTTGCATTTTCAGAAGCTACTGACAGCACCAAACCACAAAATATCGATGAGATCAAGATGTACTATGACTGTCGGTACATCTCTGCTTGTGAAGCTGCATGGAGAAGTTTTTCATACCATATCCATTACAGGGATGTTCCGGTTGAGCAGTTAAGCTTTCATCTACCAGGAGAGCAAAATGTATACTACAAACCTGATGCATCCATTGAGTCGGTACTCAGTAACACCACTCTTCACTTTACGAAGTTTATAGCTTGGATGAGAGCAAATCAAGTTTATCAAGAGGCCAGGGAGTTGACATACGTTGACTTTCCATCTAAGTTCACATGGAACAAAAAGAAAAGGGAGTGGTCACCACGGAAAAAGGGGTTTTCGGTTGGGCGTGTGTTCTTTGTGCATCCGGAGCAGGTGAGAAGTACTACTTAAGAGTTCTGTTGAATGTAGTAAAAGGGCCAAGAAGTTATGAAGAGTTGCGAATCGTGGATGGAAAGATATATGACACATTTAGGGATGCCTGTTATGCTCGCGGGTTACAGGGAGATGATAAGGAGTACATAGATGGCATTAAAGAGTCAAGTCATTCAGCAGTGGCGGGATGGCTGCGTCATCTATTTGTTACTCTTTTACTGCAGGGATCAATGACTAAGCCTGAATCGTTGTGGGAAAAGTGTTGGGAGTATTTGTCAGAAGACATATTATACAATGTGATGAAAAACCTTCATGATCAAGGTACACATTTATATTAGTCATAACTATTTAATGTTCTTCCATGGTAAAAAAAATTTCTAATTCATATTCTTTGACTCATACCTTACATTGAATACAAGTGTCATCTCTTCTGAAGAGTTGGAGCTAGACAACGGAGAAATTCAGAAGTACTGTTTAGTGGAGATTGAGAAGCTTCTCCAACAAAGAGGAAAATCACTGTGTGACTACGTCGGAATGCCAGTGCCCCCCGATTCTTACATCCCCTCCATGGAGGACATTCTCATTCATGAAGAATTGAAGTACGATAAGTGTGTGATGGCTGAAGAACATAAAAAGTTGTTGAAGGATATGACAGATGAACAAAGAGTTGTTTACGAAATAATCATGGAATCTGTCGACCGCAAATGTGGCAGTGTTTTTTTCTTATATGGACATGGCGGCACGGTAAAGACATATTTGTGGAGGACTTTGTCTGCGGCAATTAGATCACGAGGAGAAATAGTATTGAACATGGCATCCAGCGGTATTGCGTCACTCCTTCTTCCCGGAGGAAGGACCGCACACTCGAGGTTTGCGATTCCACTTAATGTGACGGAGGACTCAACGTGCAACATAAAACACGGTAGTCCCTTGGCTAGGCTTCTTGAACAAACAAGGCTAATTATTTGGGATGAGTCTCCAATGACGCATAAGCACTGTTTTGAAGCTCTAGAACGCACTATGAGAGATGTCCTTCGCTTCTCGCCGGAATGTGATGTTGCTGTCCCTTTCGGTGGAAAAACTAGTGTATTTGGCAGGGACTTCCGACAGATATTGCCGGTCATTCCAAAAGGCACGAGGCAAGATATTGTCCAAGCGTCTTTAAATTCATCGTATTTGTGGTCATATTGTAGGGTGTTGAAATTGACAAGGAACATGAGGCTTGCACACATGACCGGATCATCCAACGCAACTGACATAGAGCGCTTTGCAGATTGGATTTTGAAGATAGGCGATGGTATTTTGGGAGACAATGAGGATGGGTAATCAAAAGTCCACATACCTGCTGAATTTCTTGCTCCGTTGACAGATGATCCCATTGAGTCTATTGTTAACAGTACGTATCCAGATTTCTTGACTCATAGGGAAGACATTTCATATCTGAACTCTAGGGCCATTCTTGCACCTACGATTGATGAGCGAGACAAGATCAATGATTACATGTTGGGGCTAATTCCAGGCGAGGAAAGGACATACTTAAGCTGCGATTCAGCATCTTCCTCTGACTCAGATAGCGAGCTCCTTCAAGACATTCATTCTCCAGAATTTCTTAATAACATCAAATGTTCTGGTGTGCCAAGTCATGAACTGAAGCTTAAGGTGGGTGTGCCTGTGATGCTTATGAGAAACATAGATCACACTGTTGGGTTATGCAATGGCACGAGACTCATGGTAACTAAACTCGGGACTCGTATTATTGAGACTCAGATGATGTCAGGATCAAATGCTGGTGACAAATATCTTATTCCCAGACTTAGTTTAACTCCTACAGACTTGAAGCTCCCCTTCACGTTTCAGCGCAGACAATTTCCTCTTATGGTTAGTTATGCGATGACGATTAATAAGAGTCAAGGACAATCGTTAGAAAGAGTTGGTGTATTCTTGCGACGTCCGGTTTTTACTCATGGACAGTTATACGTTGCGGTATCGAGAGTTACAAGTCCATCTGGGTTAAAATTTGTCATACGTGACGATGATGGTCAACCAAGCAATACTGCTCTAAATGTTGTTTATAAAGAAGTGTATAATAATTTATAGGTTTTTTCATATGTCATTTGTTATATGTTAAATTCTATCCTTCGAATGTTTAAATTATAGTTCTATTATCATTCAAATCCTTGCATTCTCGATGAAATGTTTTCCCGTGCAACGCACGGGTTCAAAACTAGTTGAAAAATTAAAAGTATTGTTTTTAGTCCTCCACCTATTGTGTCAAAATAATAGTGGAATGACTAAAAGTGACAATTGGACAATATCTAGAGGTCTAAATATGAGAAATTTTGAAATCGATGACCAAATGTGTCTCTCGCACATTAGTCGAAGGACGACAATTGAAAATTAAAAGTCGAATACCAAAAATATCATTGATACATATAATATTTAGGGGCATTAAAAGTGGCAAAACTCACCTATAATTTTAAAAGCCCATTAAAAAGAATGAAAATCTCAATGTAGCTAAATTTTTTTACACTTTTAATACATTTAAAAATTTTCAAAATTAAAGTCCATAAGGGGGTGTCCCGAATTAGGATTCCAATCAATTTTAGAATTTCATCCGAATCTAGACATCCTCAATTTAGATTGCAAAGGATTCCTTACAATTCTACCATTCTCAAATATTCCATAGATTTTTATTCGCATAGATTTGGACGGATTTCTATGGAACTATAGACTAAAATCAAGAAGAATTCATCCCACCGTCAATATGTTCCCCCCACTCGGATTTCAAAATCCAGAAAGCCTAGATCAGTCCGAACATGTTCCTTCTCACCTTAGCGATGGCCTCTTCATCCGCGACCAGTCAACATCGTACTTCCCCAACCGGCTAAAAGCTAGGAGTTCTGGAATGACCAACATTTCCTCGCCAAGAATCAAGAAGCGTGGATATTGCAACCGATTGAATTGGAGAAGAATTGTAATATGAAGGGTTGAACTCAACAAGAAACTTGAGAATGATTCAGGAGTGGGAGTGAGATTTGGATTCTTATTCATGTTAATGTCAATTAAAATCTGTTAAAATCTACAGATATAAAATTCCACAAATTTTGGTGGACTCTGTAATTATATAAAATCCATAGAATTAAAAATCCTTAAAAATCCTTTTCAATCTAGGTTGGGGACATCCCCTATTCTTTTGATACTAGTCTTCGAAATTTTCCATATTTAGTTATTCGATTTTCATAACAGTGACATTTTTGGTCCCTTTTTATTCTCACATCTATTGCGCCAAAAATACAGTGGAATGACTAAAAGTATAAATTCGACAGTATTCAGAGGGTTAAATGTGGGGAATTAATTATTTACGGAAATAATGTTGGGTTAAAACTATTTACCAATATACTGTTGGGCTTAACCCTAATCGGGGAAAGTCACCAAACCATTTGACGACTTTCTACTTAATATGGAGAAAGTGCGTACAAGGAGACTAAGGGAAGAGGTGCGGCCAATTTAGAAAATATTCTCTTTTTTCTTTAAATGGCTAGAACTTTCATATTTTCCTTCCAATTTTCTTAAAATATATACCAAATTTTACAACTTTTTATGATCTTTCATATGACGCCAATATGTAATATATAAAGTTTAAAAAAATCTGAAAACCATATGGGGTGAAAAACTAATTGCAATTATGCACCGTCAATCAACTTAATTCTCAACCAGTTTAAACCAAAATTTTTACTCATGTGATCGAATCCTCATATCAATTCAATTTTTCAATATATTTACCCAATATAGTTTTTACTTAAATTCTTACACTTTTTGGTAAATTGGCCCCACCTCTTCCCTTAGTCTCCTTGTACACACTTTCTCCATCTATATCTATATATACATAAAAGCAATACAAGAATGTACTGTTCATTCTACAGTAATCCCGCCTAAATCATTTCACATTTGCACCGTACAATTAAACAAATCTCTCACCCTTCATCTCTTTCGCCCTCACCATTTTCCGCCATCTGCATCCACATCTTTCTCCGTCCAATTCTTTCTACTTCTTCACGTTTCCATCTTCTCTCTACCCCGTCAGGTCAATCTCTGCCGAATTCTTCAACTCGCCTTCAACCCCTTTCCATCTTCTTTCTTCCCCATCCGGCCTTCATATCAATTTCTCGATCTCCACTGTCTCCTTCCAACGATGTAGACCCGCCTTCATCCTGGTCGATCGTGCGCCATCTCCATCCAGGTATATCTGATAACTTCATCTCCATCTGTGGCTGCCTGCTGTTTCCCTCAATTTCTTCCAACTTCATATACTTTTAGGGTTGCACGCATTCCAATTTACAAATTCTGTTTTGTTCTGATTAATTAATTTGATGGAACATATTGTTCACACCAGCTCCATATGGCTTCATTATTACTTTTTCTTTTTGCATTTCTTGTGCCGTAGTGAGGTTATTATCACTCACAGTTTCAACGTTTTTTAATCATCAATTTCAATGTTAAATCTCTCCATCATTTCAAATCCTTTATTGGAACTTAGCTTTGTTGCATTTGATTTTTGAACTAATTTTTACACAATATTACAACATCTTAGATATATGATGATCTTCAATAAGAGCAAATTCAACCAAACAACAGTCAAGGTAATATCATAAGAGTATTTAATATCTATTGTTTATTCAATTGTATATCATCTTAAACTGCTATTATGTCTTCCTTCTTTATTACTTCATTTTGTTTATTTATGTAATGTCATCCTAGCTTTTACACTTAAATATTTTTTTTTAATTTTGCATTCTAATTTGATAATCTTATTAGCCCTCCCCAGTGAGAAGTCTCTGTGAGGGTATATGGAACTCGCGTCCAATTTGTAAATACGATTAAACATTTTTCATTGAAGTCCCTTTTTCAATATCTAAATACACACACACGTTTAAATATTTAATTTGATGAAGCTCACTCGACATTATTGCATTCAATATGTATTTTTTAGATTTTTCATCTATCAAGGTAGTCTGTTTCATTAAATTTTGTCTATTTTTATTCAGTGTTTAAATGTTGCTTATTCTTTATGGTGTAGGGTGCACCAGATCACACTATTTTATGTTTCAAATTAGAAGAGCATAATTGATTACGCTTGATTGAAAGAGGTGATTACTTGATTCAAAATTTCTTCTTGAATCTAACATGGTAAGTAAAATCATACCCGTAGTATATGATTTACATAATACACTGATAGAGGAGCCATTTAGTTGCTAGAGTTTTACTTGAGATGCTAAAAACGTACTTGTGTTTTATGCAAATGTTTCTCTGTGAACATTGTCTACCTCAGAGTAGCTACGCTATTGAAATTTCCAATGACTACAAGGTAAGTTAAAAACATATATTTTTTCTCTACTCTTTTGTTGTGATTTGGTCCTTATTCCTGCAGTTTCATTTTTTCCATTTATGGAGGAGCCTTCATGAGTTTTGTTTTTATCCATTTAAAGTATGTTTTTAGTTTCATTTCATATATATTAAATTGCTTTTGTTCACTTATCCAAGAATGTAATTTTAATGGTGTGCAAGTTAATATTGAACTATCACTCCTTTATATTCTTTGATTTGCACACAATATGTTTTGCATATATATGAAAAGAATACTAAGGATCTTTAAACTGATTTGCTTTGATTCCGTTTGATCAGTTTTGAGCAATACAATTCACAATTCACAAACGTATTTATTTTTCTTATTGGGTGAACACCAATATACTTTTTGATGGATAGTCTACCCGGGGGGTATATATCCGAGGGGTTATTGCTGGGAATAACTTAGAGAGAAGTCAGAGCAAGTAAATGTAGAGAGAGAGTGTATTATAAATGTGGAGCGTTTTCAGCGTGGTTACAAATGGGGAAATGTGGTGCTATTTATAGTAGCAATAAATGCCGGGCAGGGACACGTGTCAAGGGCCTATTGGCCGAGGGGTCACCTCAACTGGTTGGCGTTGGCAGCCGCATGTGGCCGCATTTAATGCGGCTGTTGGATGGGACGTCTGTACAGGGTACGGTGATCTGTACGCATGTGAGGCGGATATCATGTCGGGAGAGGTCCCCTCGGCTGCAGAGGACTAGCCGAGGGCTCTTAGTGCCGAGGACCCCTCAGTGCCGAGGGCTCCAGGTGCCGAGGGCTACTGTTTTGGCCGTTTTCTCCCAGTTTCTTAGTTTGCCTGGAAAACCCATTCTGTGAGAGTTTAGAGCCTTCGGCCAGGGGGGCGAGGGCACCCCTGGTGCGTATTGCGGGCTGCTTGGTACTCTGGGCGCCGTGATTTGAGCCTGATGGGCCTCCTGGGCCTGTTGGGCCTTCATTGGTGTAGTAGGAGTCTGTGGGCCGGGTGTTCCCGGGCCATATACTCCATCAGGAGTCCCTCACTCCTTTTGCCGAAAGGTATTTGAGGGAAAAGGAGTAATTTAAGCTTGTCCTTTGATGTTGTCCTGTCGTGATCTCTGAAGTTGGTGAGGAGTTGTTGCTTTTATGTCCCTGCCGAAGGCAGTCCCTCAGTTACCCACATGTCGGGACTTGAGGGCTTGCTTTGTCGTTTGTTGGAATTTCACTAATTTTGTAATTTAATGATTTTCCCGAGGGGGTCCTCCAGTCCCCCACTCCTTGAGGCACTTGTAAAGTGGTAAAAAGGAGTAGAGTAGTTGCGTTGCTGTTATGGGCCGAAGGCTGACGCTTTTCGTTTCATTTTGGGGGGATGCCTCGTTAAAAACCTCATTAGAAAAAACCCTGTGGGAAAAAATCCTAATGAGGGAAAAAGAGTGCACCGGATTCCCCCAATGATGAATCGAAAATGTCAAACCTTGGTCAAAAATGGAGAATAACGGTAATGCCGAGGGCTCTTCTTCTTCTGAGGGCTCATGTGTTGATTAGCCGAAGGCTTGCTGTTGATGTCCTGGGGGTGCCGAAGGGGAGCCCCTCAATCCGGGGATCGAGGGCCTGCTGGATGAGGGCAGCAGTGGAGTTGTTACCGGGGGGTCCACTGTTTGTTGATTAGTTGGTGATGAAGATACCCGAGGGCTCCCATTACCTGTGTGCCATGGGTTATCCGTCAATGAGGCAACTCCCCGGGGGCTACCCGGTTTTGCAGTGCTGAGGGGGAATCCCCGAGGGGTGCCCTGATATGAAGCCCTGGGTTTCTGAAGGAGTGATCCCGAAGGCGTCTGTTATGTGCTGTGTGGGGCACAACCCGGGGGCGTCTCTGGTAAGTGTACCCGGAGGCTCTCCTTGACGAAGTGGAGTGAAGTAGAAAACCCGGGGGCTTCCAGAATATAGCCGTTGGAAATATAGCCGTTGGAATATGTAACGTCAGGATATAGCCGTTGGGGGGGTACACGTGGTGCGTGACGGTTGGCTGCCCGTGGGCGGCGTCACCGGTTGGGTAAAAACACGGTGCGTAATGATGACGGTCCGTCCGGAGGCCCGGTTTCCGGGCCCAAGCCCGGATTCCAGCGCCTATAAATACCCCAAGGCCAGGCATTCCTCCGTGTGCGAAAACCTTGTTAGCGAAGCTCTGCCAATTTTTCTAGAGAGAGAAACATCAGCCCTCGGTTGAATCCTCTGTTCCTAAGGTCAGTTCTCCACTTGCCCTTCACCTCTTAGCTACCTGTATTGTGCCCTTAGGCTAGGAGATAGAATATTTAGAAAACACTAGCGTCTACGAGCCTTCGAACTAGAGTCAGAATGTCGTCCCAGAGTGATTCTCAAGATATCTCGGGGGCGCCCTCGATGGAGGATGAAGTCCTCTCGGACGTGGAGTCCTCAAGTGCACAGTCTTCGGTGGGACAGGATGTCGTCGTTGCCCTGGAGTTGCAGAAAGCCCTCGTAGCTGAGGCGGAAGCCGAGGGCTTCGAGCAAGAATGTGAGGACGAAGAGTTGGCCCTCGCCTGGCAAGCAGCTGAAGAGGAGGCACAAAGAGAAAGCGTGAGGGTCACCGTTGCTGTGCTCCCCCCTCGGGGTGCCGGTGAGGCCAGCACCTCTCGGCCGCTGAATGCGGTCCCCATCCGGGTGGCCCCCGGAAAGAAGAAGGCCAAGGCCGTTGCTCCCAAGAAGAAGGGCAGCGTAGCAGACCAAGGGAAGCCCCTCGATATGCCCTAGGGGTATTCATATTTGAACACCGCCGCCTTGGAGATAAGGTCGAAGGCTGATGCGGCGGACATCTACGTCACTCAACTACACGTGGGCCCCTCGGCCATCGTGGTGACACCGGGTCCAGATGACGTCCTCTCCCGGGCTCCCGAGGGCTGTATAGCGGTGCATGTTCTCTCGGTGTCCATGGGGCTCCGCTTCCCCCTGCACCCTTTCCTCCGGGAGTACCTTCGGTTCGAGAGTCTGGTCCCCTGCCAGCTGACCCCGAATAGCCATTCCTATATCACTGGCTTCCTCCAGTTCTGCAAGTCCCGGGGGGTGACGCCTAGCCTGGACCTCTTCTTCCAGAGCTTTAATTTGTTCCGGGGGGGGGGGGGGGGGGGGCACGCGAATGCCGAGGGCTTCGCCAACTTACAACAGGTGGCCCTCTTCAAGCTCTTTACCGAGACGCCCTCCTCGAACAAAGGGTGGAAAGACCGGTGGTGCTACGTGAGGCTGACCGAGAGCCCCTTCCCGAGGGAATTGCGTGACCGGTTTAGGAGGCATGAGAAGAGGAGGAGCGCCGCCCTCGAGAAAGACGGCAGGATCCTGGCCAAGATCCCGGAGGGCCGGGACAAAAACATCACCATTAAGGAGTGCACCAAGGAGGAGGATCTCTACACCCTCGGGTTCAGGCGGTATCGCTTTCTGGGGGAGACAGATGAGAAGTTCCCGGCATTCGAGGGAGCCTCCGGAGGTAGTGGCTGAGGGCACCCTTATTTTATGTCTTAGCAGATAGTCCCTATGCTTGTTCGTTTCTTTTTTGTGCTATCTGTTAGTGACCCCTCGATCTTAACCCCATATTGTTTTTGCATGTGTCAAGATGGATCTCAACGCCTTCGCCAACCTCAAAAAACAGAAGGCGAAGGTGCCGGGCCAGAAGGAGCCCGCAAAGCATAAGCCCCTCGGGGAGACGAAGAAAGGCGGTGAGCCCTCGGGGGAGGCCGCAAAACGAAAGGCCGCCGGTAAGGCCCCAGTCCCCGAGGGGAAGAAACAAAAGAAGGGGGACGCCGGGAAGAAGGCTCCCTTGGTGTTGGTGGTGGACGAGCATTCTGCCTCGGAACCCAGTGCTCTGACTGCTCCTTGCCCGCCCTCGGGCAAAGGTGGCGAGGTAAGCTTGCCTCGGGAGGACATACAGTTCTCCCTGCCGAAGGGGTCTGCCATCACGCATGGCACAGTGGACCCCCGGGAATTTCTTGGCGGGGCTACACCCGCTCTAGACAGACGGGCCCTCGGGAAGCTGGATGACGAAGCCCTCGAGTCCAAAATCCTCCGGTCCTCTCTTACCGTAAGTTCTCCTCCTTCCTCTCTTCTCCTTTCTTTTTCATTAGCCTCGTGGCCCATGACTTTATCTGTTTGTGTGATCACAACTTTGTTGTTTGTCTAAACAGGCTTGCATAGCCCTCGGCGAACACGCCAGGAGATTCGACGAATGGCGCCTCCAGAGGGCGCAACAGGAAGAGTCCCTCAAGAAGCTCATCCACGATAACGCTGAGGCCATGAGGCAGATGGCTCAACTGGAGAGGGACCTCCAGCAGGCGAGGGCGGAAGCAAAGAGAGCCTCCCGGGAGAGGGTGGAGATGGAGAAGGCGGCTGCCGAGGCTGCAAAGAAGGCCCTTGAAGATGCCGAGGCCGCCAAAGCAGAGGCCGCCGTTGCTGCAGTTGCTGGCTTCATGACCGAGGGCTGGAAGGCCGAAGGCCATAAAGACTGGGTGGCCTCGGTCATGGAGAGTTCTGCCGAGGGGTGGGTGAAGGGCCCCGGGGCGATGTGGCTAGCCCGAAAGGGCGAAGATTACTACGCCGGGGGGGAGTTCTTCACCCAGGCCCTGATCTACAGGAGGCTCGCCCGGCACTTGAAGATAGAGCCAACGGCCTTCAACCCGGCGGCGTACGGTCTCCCCCCCCCTCCAGCCTGATATCAGAGTCCCCCTCCCCGAGGGCGTCGAGAGGCCGGAACTGGAGGATTCGGAACTCCTGAAAGAGGCCGAGGGCGATGAAGCAGAGGCTGATGCGGAGGTCATCTCGAAGCCTGCGGAAGAAGCGGCCCTCGGGAATGACGTTGTTTGATGTGTAATTTGTACTCAGTATTTTGAACTCTTTGTAATAGCCACATTAGCATGTTTTCGGCCTCGGCCACCATTGTAATAACTACATTTACTCTTTGTTGTGATGAATGAATGATTGCCTTCGGGCTTTGTATATATGGCTTGTTTTCCTTAATTCATTTCTTCTTGAATGTATGACTTCGTCTCGTTTTGGATGTATGCCTTTGCTCCTTTGAATGTATGTTTTAGGACTTAGAATATTTTCTGATTGTAGCTTACCCTTGGAAGCCTTCGGTAGTTGGGCACCCTCTGCTGGATATACAACCGAGGGTTCAACAATAATTAGGACTTAGAAAATTTTTCTAAGTGTAACACGCCATAGGGCCTTCGGGTGTTTGTAGTTCAATTGCTGTGTGGTGATTAGGTTGAGAACCCAATTCCTAGGACTTAGAAAAATTTCCAGGTGTAGTTTTTGCCCTCGGATGCCCTTGGCTGGTAGCCTCCTTCCTGATGCGTGAATATTGGACCGAGGGCCCAATGTACAGGACTTAGAAATTTTTTGCAAGTGTAGTATGTCATGTAGCCTCCAGGTGCTGTGGAGTCCCAACTGAAATGTTGATTAGTCCGGGGGCCAATTCTTTAGGACTTAGGAAATTTTCCTCAATGTTGATTCCTTGTGCACTGTAGCCTTTGATTGATAGGTAGCCTTCGGCTATTAGGTCCCTTGAGATGAGGGTAAAATATGTAGGACTTGGAAAGATTTCTAAGCGTGGATTTTCCCTCGGGAGCCTTCGGGAGATGGCATCCCTTCTTGATGCCCAGCCTTCGACTGTCATATTCATTTAGCTGTAATATTGATTGGGCCGGGGCCCATCTTTAGGACTTAGATTTTTTTTAAATGTTGTTGTATTGCGTAGCCTTCGGCTACCATATTCCCTTGGCTGCAATATTGATTGGGCCGGGGGCCCAATCCTTAGGACTTAGAATTTTCTCCAAGTGCTGCTTCCTTGTGTCGCCTTCGGGTGATAGGTGCCCTCTGACTCTACATCACTTTGCGAGATGCCCGGGGGCTACTCCTTTAGGACTTAGAATATTTTTTAAACGTAAAGTGATGTCGAGCTTCCGGGTGTAGAGCCCTCCGGGTATATGAACAGGACCCTTCGGGTGATCGTGGGCCCCTTGAGTTGTACGAGCATTTGATCGAGGGCCAAATATGTGGAACTTAGCAAAATTTCACAGTGTGTCGTAGATGTTGGACCTTCGGTCAGTGAGGAGTCTGTCCGAGGGGCAAATATTTTGGAATAGTCCCCCTCGGTTGGCTTTTGATGATTTGTAATATATGCCTTCGGTTGTCTGGTGATATATTAGCCTCCGGTTGCCGTCATTTTCCAAAAGTGTGGACTTAGGAAAAGTGTGGAATCCTGTTGTTGTGAAGAAAGCCAATGATGAGTGTGTGCCCTCGGCATACACTCTGAAAAGTTGTAGAGTTTGACTTAGCCAGTTGTGTCCCTTGTAATGGGGTAGGGGCCCTCGGTATTAGTGCATGACAGGTGCCTTCGGCGTTTGAAGTACCGTTTAGTGGACCTTGGATAGTCCAGTCCCTTTGTATTGTTGAAGCCTTCGGTGATCGTGTGACCGGAGGTGACCAGGCAGTGGACTTTAGCCGTTTCTTGATGATATTTGTTTGAGTAGTATCCTTCGGGAAATAGGAGCCTTCAATTACCGGAGGTGTTCCCATGGGGAGCCCTCGACATGTTGTGATCTGCTGGAGTGCACTCTTTGATTTCTCGCTGAGTCTACTCCCCTTCACCCCCCCCCCCCCCCCCCCCCCCTTTTTTTGTTGGTGGTGAAGGGAAGGCATCAAGAAACTTGGTTTCTTGGTAAGGCTGAGCCTATTAGGAGACCATCAGAATACACCAATGGCTCTCCTCCCTCGGGTTAACCTTCCGAGTTCCGAGGGGATCGAGGGTCGTTTCCTGGGCACAAGATATGGTGGTCCGTAACCTGCCTCCCCTTGGGGGATGGCGCGGAAAACGCCTCATTTTTGAAAGTCGTCCCCTCAGCGTTAGACATAGTCCGTGGCCTACCACACCCTTGGGGTGGTGGCACGGGGAGCGTTTCGGTTTGGAAGTCGAATCCTGGGCATTTCTCGTGCCTGTCATACCCTTGGGGTGATGACGCGGATAGCGTTCCGTTTTTGAAAGTCGAATCCTGGGCATTTCTCATGCCTGTCATACCCTGGGGGTAGTGACGCGGAAAGCGTTTCAAGGAAGGGTTTTCATTTGCACACTAGTTGCAAATGGCCGGGGGCACTACGTGCCGCCGGCACCGATGGTGGTGCCTTCGGTATATGCGTCCTCGTGGGGTACAGCTTTAGAAACAACACTTGGTGTTAGCTTCGATATATAGCCCTCGGTACTTGGTACCGAGGGGTCTTCTGTAGGAACACTTGGTGTTCTCCTTTGTTGTAGTTGATGGAGGTGTCTACCCTCGGTACTTGGTACCGAAGGGTCTTCAAATGAAACACTTGGTGTCTTGATTGGAGTGTTTGGTGCTGGAGGGCCCTCGGAGGAAACATTTGGTGTTTCCCAACAGATGTTTGGAAGCTGATAGGAGAGCATATCCCTGGCACTGGGTGCTGAGGGGTCTTCTTTGAAACATTTGGTGTTTTTCTTCGTTTTGATGTTGATGATGGAGGTGTACCCTCGGCACTGGGTGCCAAAGGGAAATAAAACACACGGCGTTCCTTGCCGTTGGTGACGGGAGTCCCCACCCTCGGTACTTGGTACCGAGGGGGCTTGTTCGAAAACACGTGGTGTTCTCCTGCTGGTGTAGGTGTTGATGGTGTCCGCCCTCGGCACTTGGTGCCGGAGGGGGTTCTTCTCGTGGTGAGGCCCGGGACCTGTAATCAGTATGAGGGCGTGGTGTCTTGAATGTGTCTTCATTCCTCAAAAGTGGAGGCCTTGGGCCATAGGATAGTACATTCATTAGTTATGAGGGCTTGGCCGCTCTTACATTATTGGTAAAATTTAACTAAATGGTGTACATTCCAGTGCCTAGGGACCTCTTTCCCGTTGGGGCGTTTGAGCTTGTAAGTCCCAGGTTCGATGATGGCTGCTATGATGTAGGGGCCTTCGAATTTTGGTGCCATTTTTCCTCCCTCGGTTGGTTGGCTGGCTTCCCTCCTCCGGAGGACATAGTCCCCCACTTGGAATTCTCTGGTGCGAACTTTGGCGTTGATGTAGCTTTTGACTTGCCTTCGGTAATTTTCCGCCCGGATGAAGGCCTGCTCCCGGCGTTCTGAAATGAGGTGGAGGTCGAGGGCCATATTGCTGTCGTTGACCTCGGGGTCATATTGGATCACCCGTCGGGTGGGAAGGGTGACTTCCGTAGGAGCTTTGGCTTCAAAACCGTAGCAGAGGGAGAAGGGTGTTTCACCTGTTGCTCGCCGAGGGGTGGTGCGGTAGGCCCACAGGATGTTGTGGAGTTCTTCCACCCAACCACCGCCCTCGGCCTCCAGCTTCTTTTTTAGGCCCTCGAGCAAGGTCCGGTTGGCATTCTCTACTTGCCCGTTGCCTTGAGGGTAGGCAACGGAGGAGAAGGTGTGTTTGATGCCCCATGCCTCCAGAAGGGGGCTGCCTCAAATTGCGTCCCATTGTCGGAGATGATCTGCTGGGGGACGCCAAACCTTGTGAGGATGTTCTTGAGGACAAAATGACGGCACTTCGCCTCTGTGATACTGGCGAGGGGCTCAGCCTCCACCCACTTGGTAAAGTAGTCGATGGCCACAATGATGTACCTGTTGTTGGAGGTACCCCTCGGCAGAGGGCCCACAAGGTCTATCCCCCATCGAGAAAAAGGGACAGACGTGCTGATGGGGGCATAGTTGACCGCTGGCCTGCCGGGGGCTTTCTGGAAATGTTGACATGCGGTGCACCTCCGGGCAAGGTCAGCACAATCTCTGGCCATGGTTGGCCAGAAGTAGCCCTGGAGAATGAGCCATTGGGACATGGAGAAGGGTCCCTGGTGAGCTGAGCAAGTGCCACTGTGCACTTCCTCCATTGCGACCTCGGCCTCATCTTGATGAAGGCACCGAAGTAGCGTGCCATTGTAAGATCGTTTGTAGAGCCTTCCATCTTCGATGGTGTAGCTAGGAGCCCTCAGCTTCGCTAGTTTAGCGCGGGTCTCATTCTCGGGTAGCTGCCCTGTGGAGATGAAGACGATGATATCTGAGATCCAATCCTCTTGGCGTTGTTGTATGTTCATAACGGGGCTTGCATGGATACTTGAGAGGCTGAGTTCCTCAATTTTGGCAATTTTGGAGATGTGCTCGGGGGAGTCGGCCGAGAGTTTAGATAATATGTCGGCCTCGGAGTTCTGGGCCCTCGGTATTTGAGTGAGAGAGTGTGTCTCAAATACCTTGAGCAACTCCTTGGCCGCTTCCTTGTATTGTTTCATTCTTCCCTCCGTGGCCTCATATTCCTCGGAGATTTTGCCAACGACCAACTTGGAGTCGCATTTGATGTGGATCTGCCGAGCCCTCATGTTGGCAGCCAGCCGAAGGCCACATAGGAGGGCCTCATATTCGGCCTCGTTGTTGGAGACTTTGAAGGAGAAGCGGATTGCATGGTAGGCTCTGAAGCCCTCGGGAGTAATGAGGACTACCCCTCCCCCGCATGCTTTGGTCGCGGAGGAGCCGTCGGTGTAGAGGGTCCACCAGTCGTCCGAGGTAGCCGAGGGCTCCCCGTCCGTGGCTGCCCTTGCGGTACATTCCGTCACGAAGTCCGCCAGGGCTTGGCCCTTGATGGCAGGCCTTGGACGGATGTCAATGTTGTACTACTGGCTCAAGAAGATAGCCCACTTCACCATGCGGGAGGAGCTGGTGGGGCTCCTCATGAGGGCGCCGAGGGGTTGATGAGTGAGGACCTGAACCGGGTGAGCCTGAAAGTAGTGGCCCAACTTCTTGACAGTCCAAACGATGGCTAACACCGTTTTTTCCATAGGGGAGTACCTCAGCTCGGCCTCCCTTAGGGTCTTGCTAACGTAGAAGATGGCATGTTGGATGCCGTCCTCCTCCCGAATGAGCACAGAGCTGATGGCCGCCGGGCTGACCCCAAGGTAGAGGTAGAGGGTCTCTCCTACCTTGGGTTTGGAGAGCACAGGGGGTGAAGACAGATATCGCTTGAGTTCGTCGAAAGCCCCCTGGCATTCTGAAGTCCATTGAAAACCAGCCGTCTTCCTCATGATTTGGAAGAAGGGTAAAGACTTCTCCGCTGATTTAGATAGAAAGCGGTTGAGGGCTGCCAGGCGGCCCGTCAACCGTTGAACCTCCTTCACATTGCGTGGGGGTTCCATGTCGATGATGGCCTGGATCTTCTCGGGATTGGCCTCAATACCCCTTCGGCTCACCATGTAGCCCAAGAATTTGCCCCCTTGGACGCCGAAGGTGCACTTCTTCGGGTTTAGCCGAAGGTTGAACTTCTGCATGATGGCGAAGATTTCCCGGAGGTCGTCAGCATGGCTGGAAGATTGCTTGCTCTTGACGATCATGTCGTCAACATAGGCCTCCATGGTGCGCCCTAGGACGGCCTGAAAGACTCGGGCCACCATCCGGGTGTAGGTGGCCCCCGAGTTCTTTAGGCCGAAGGCCATGACTAGGTAGCAGAAGATGCCCTCGGGAGTCATGAAGGCAGTTTTTTCGGCGTCTTCCTCGTGCATGAAAATTTGGTGATACCCTCGGAAGGCATCGAGGAAGGACATGATCTCACACCCTACGGTCTCATCCACCAGTTGATCAATATTTGGTAGAGGGAACGGATCCATAGGGCATGCTTTGTTGAGATCAGTGTAGTCCACGCACATGCGGAAGGTAGGGGGCTTCTGTGCGAGGACTACATTTGCTAGCCATGAGGGATATTTCACCTCCTTGATGTGCCTAATGGAGAGGAGCATGACGACCTCTTTCTTCACAAAACCCTCCTCTCGGCGGAGAGGGGTCTTCTTCGTTGTTGCATTGCTTTTGCCGAGGGGTCCACCGAGAGGCGGTGGGTGATGACCCTTCGGCTAATTCCCGGCATGTCCTCCGGCCCCCATGCAAAGACGGTGGAGTAGGCGCGGAGGGCGTCGGTGATACCGGTCTTCAGATCTTTAGGGAGCTGGGCTCCAATCTTCACGACTCTCTCCGGCTGGGCCGGATCGAGCGCAATGTCTTCTACGTCCTCGGCCGGTTCAGCCCTCGGCCTTTTTTCTTCTTGGTCGATGGTTCCGGTGATGGTGTCAACACAGAATTCCGTCTTACTTACCTTCTTAGTGACTTGAAGATAGCAGGCGCGGGCGATTTTCTGATTCCCCCGGGAGTAGCCAATGCCCCCCTCGGCGGGGAACTTGAGGCAGAGGTGCCTCATGGAGATGATGGCCTCGAGGTCCTCCAGGGCTGGCCGGCCGAGGATAATGTTGTGGGCGCAGTCGATGTTAACGACGACGAACTCCACTTCGAGCTAGGCCCTATGGAGCCCGTCGCCGAAAATCACCGGGAGGGTTATTACCCCCTCGGAATCAATAGTGTCGCCGGTGAAGCCGGCAAGAGGGATCTTAATGGGCCGAAGGGACCCCCTCTCCAGATGGAGCTCTCTGAAGGTGCTGAGGTACATTACATTGACGGAGCTGCCCGTGTCAATGTAAGTTCGGTGAATGATGGTGTCGCTTATTTCAGTCCGAATCACCAAGGCATCCCTGTGAGGAGAAGAAGTAGGAGGGAGATATGCGTTGGTGAAGGTGATGGGTTCCTCCCTCAGTCGCTTTACCGGGGGCATATGAGTGACTTCCCCCACGTAAAGCGATTGAGCCCACTTCTTTCGCTGGCTGGTGGAATCGCCCCCTGTATTGCCACCAGTGATCATGAGGATGTGGCGTTTTTTCTCCTGGTAGTGGGGGTACTCCTCCTCTTCTTCTTCCAAGTTTCCGATCTCCCTCTTCTTGCCGAGGGGGATGGTGTTCGGGTTTACCCAAGCGTTTACCTTCGTGTGGTGCCCTTGGGGAGGTCCCTGATGAGAAGGCCCCTCCTGCCGAGGGCTCTGAACGAATTGGGACAGGTGCCCCGCTTGTATCAACCTCTCGATGGCCGTCTTTAGCTGATGGCAGTCATCGGTTCTGTGCCCCTGGTGCCGATGGAAGCGACAATATGGGAACTGAGGGTTGATAGCATGTACCTCCGGGGGTGCGCGGGAATCGCGCTCAACGAGGCCCCTCTCCTCGGCAAAATCAAGGATGATGCTGACGGGGTGCGTCGATGGCGTCCGGGGCGGTCCAGGAGAATGGGCTGTGCCCAAGTCTTAGGGCTGCTCTTATAACCTCCCCCGGGCTTGGCTTGGCCTTGCCGAGGGCGGTCATCAGAGGGTCCTGAAGGTTTGGGGTGATTCGGAGGAGCCCCCGGCCCTCGGTTGTTTTTGTTGTCAGCCCTCGGGGGCTGCTGGTCCGGATGCTGGTGATATATTTCCACCTCCTCGGCCTCAGCATATCGGTCCCCCCGCTGCAAAGCCCTTATGTAGTCGCGGGGGGGTTCAATGATGAGGCTCCTTGAAAAGTTGCCGGTGCGGAGGACGGTTTGTAGGAGGGCCAGGAGGGTCCCGTCATCAGCACCGTCGACTTTGTCGGCTTCGGTCCTCCAGCACTCCAGGAAGTCCCGAAGGGTCTCATCCCTCTTTTGGCGTATTGTTAGGAGGTGGGAGAAGTGCTTCCTTGTGCGACGCCTCCCGGCAAATTGTGTCAAGAATCGCTGGGCGAGTTCTTGCCATGAATCAATGCAGCCCTCGAGCAGCCTGTTGAACCATTCGTATGCCGGCCCCTCTAAGGTGGAGAGGAACCAACGACACAAATATTCGTCTGACGCCCCTACCATCATCATGCTGTTCTGGTATTTGCTGTAGTGTTCTTGGGGGTCCGTTTTCCCGTTGTAGGGCTGTATGTGTTGCCCTCGGTATTTTTCCGGGATCCGGGCTGCCAATACCCTTGAGGTAAATGGCGTCCGAGCCCGGAGCTGGATGACGGGTTCTCCGGAGCCCTCGGCCACCTTCTTCTGTAATTCCTCCATTTTGGCCATCATGGCCTCGTATTTGAGGTCTGAGTGAGGGGTGGAGGTGGTGGCGTGAGTTTTGTTGGACTCCATTTCGTCAAGCCGGCGTTGGAGGGCCGCAATAATCTCGTCCCGGGGATCCTTCGGGAGGGTCTCCGCCCCCTGCGAACGAACCCGGGCCGAGTGGGCCTGGTTGATCTGGTGGCGAGCATCATTGGCATGAAGGGGTGCCTTGCCTTTGTCCCGAGGGGGACGCTCCTCGTCTGCCCTCGAGACAGACCCTCCGCTTTCCTGGGGCCTTTGGAGTGCTTTCCCTCCGAGGCGGTCTTGGACCCCTCGGCGGTCTGGCCCTCCTCCGAGCCGGTTGAGGGCGGAAGTGTGGGGCCTTTCTCTGTCGTCATGTTGGTGGTGGACGAGCATTCTGCCTCGGAACCCAGTGCTCTGACTGCTCCTTGCCCGCCCTCGGGCAAAGGTGGCGAGGTAAGCTTGCCTCGGGAGGACATACAGTTCTCCCTGCCGAAGGGGTCTGCCATCACGCATGGCACAGTGGACCCCCGGGAATTTCTTGGCGGGGCTACACCCGCTCTAGACAGACGGGCCCTCGGGAAGCTGGATGACGAAGCCCTCGAGTCCAAAATCCTCCGGTCCTCTCTTACCGTAAGTTCTCCTCCTTCCTCTCTTCTCCTTTCTTTTTCATTAGCCTCGTGGCCCATGACTTTATCTGTTTGTGTGATCACAACTTTGTTGTTTGTCTAAACAGGCTTGCATAGCCCTCGGCGAACACGCCAGGAGATTCGACGAATGGCGCCTCCAGAGGGCGCAACAGGAAGAGTCCCTCAAGAAGCTCATCCACGATAACGCTGAGGCCATGAGGCAGATGGCTCAACTGGAGAGGGACCTCCAGCAGGCGAGGGCGGAAGCAGAGAGAGCCTCCCGGGAGAGGGTGGAGATGGAGAAGGCGGCTGCCGAGGCTGCGAAGAAGGCCCTTGAAGATGCCGAGGCCGCCAAAGCAGAGGCCGCCGTTGCTGCAGTTGCTGGCTTCATGACCGAGGGCTGGAAGGCCGAAGGCCATAAAGACTGGGTGGCCTCGGTCATGGAGAGTTCTGCCGAGGGGTGGGTGAAGGGCCCCGGGGCGATGTGGCTAGCCCGAAAGGGCGAAGATTACTACGCCGGGGGGGAGTTCTTCACCCAGGCCCTGATCTACAGGAGGCTCGCCCGGCACTTGAAGATAGAGCCAACGGCCTTCAACCCGGCGGCGTACGGTCTCCCCCCCCTCCAGCCTGATATCAGAGTCCCCCTCCCCGAGGGCGTCGAGAGGCCGGAACTGGAGGATTCGGAACTCCTGAAAGAGGCCGAGGGCGATGAAGCAGAGGCTGATGCGGAGGTCATCTCGAAGCCTGCGGAAGAAGCGGCCCCCGGGAATGACGTTGTTTGATGTGTAATTTGTACTCAGTATTTTGAACTCTTTGTAATAGCCACATTAGCATGTTTTCGGCCTCGGCCACCATTGTAATAACTACATTTACTCTTTGTTGTGATGAATGAATGATTGCCTTCGGGCTTTGTATATATGGCTTGTTTTCCTTAATTCATTTCTTCTTGAATGTATGACTTCGTCTCGTTTTGGATGTATGCCTTTGCTCCTTTGAATGTATGTTTTAGGACTTAGAATATTTTCTGATTGTAGCTTACCCTTGGAAGCCTTCGGTAGTTGGGCACCCTCTGCTGGATATACAACCGAGGGTTCAGCAATAATTAGGACTTAGAAAATTTTTCTAAGTGTAACACGCCATAGGGCCTTCGGGTGTTTGTAGTTCAATTGCTGTGTGGTGATTAGGTTGAGAACCCAATTCCTAGGACTTAGAAAAATTTCCAGGTGTAGTTTTTGCCCTCGGATGCCCTTGGCTGGTAGCCTCCTTCCTGATGCGTGAATATTGGACCGAGGGCCCAATGTACAGGACTTAGAAATTTTTTGCAAGTGTAGTATGTCATGTAGCCTCCAGGTGCTGTGGAGTCCCAACTGAAATGTTGATTAGTCCGGGGGCCAATTCTTTAGGACTTAGGAAATTTTCCTCAGTGTTGATTCCTTGTGCACTGTAGCCTTTGATTGATAGGTAGCCTTCGGCTATTAGGTCCCTTGAGATGAGGGTAAAATATGTAGGACTTGGAAAGATTTCTAAGCGTGGATTTTCCCTCGGGAGCCTTCGGGAGATGGCATCCCTTCTTGATGCCCAGCCTTCGACTGTCATATTCATTTAGCTGTAATATTGATTGGGCCGGGGCCCATCTTTAGGACTTAGATTTTTTTTAAATGTTGTTGTATTGCGTAGCCTTCGGCTACCATATTCCCTTGGCTGCAATATTGATTGGGCCGGGGGCCCAATCCTTAGGACTTAGAATTTTCTCCAAGTGCTGCTTCCTTGTGTCGCCTTCGGGTGATAGGTGCCCTCTGACTCTACATCACTTTGCGAGATGCCCGGGGGCTACTCCTTTAGGACTTAGAATATTTTTTAAACGTAAAGTGATGTCGAGCTTCCGGGTGTAGAGCCCTCCGGGTATATGAACAGGACCCTTCGGGTGATCGTGGGCCCCTTGAGTTGTACGAGCATTTGATCGAGGGCCAAATATGTGGAACTTAGCAAAATTTCACAGTGTGTCGTAGATGTTGGACCTTCGGTCAGTGAGGAGTCTGTCCGAGGGGCAAATATTTTGGAATAGTCCCCCTCGGTTGGCTTTTGATGATTTGTAATATATGCCTTCGGTTGTCTGGTGATATATTAGCCTCCGGTTGCCGTCATTTTCCAAAAGTGTGGACTTAGGAAAAGTGTGGAATCCTGTTGTTGTGAAGAAAGCCAATGATGAGTGTGTGCCCTCGGCATACACTCTGAAAAGTTGTAGAGTTTGACTTAGCCAGTTGTGTCCCTTGTAATGGGGTAGGGGCCCTCGGTATTAGTGCATGACAGGTGCCTTCGGCGTTTGAAGTACCGTTTAGTGGACCTTGGATAGTCCAGTCCCTTTGTATTGTTGAAGCCTTCGGTGATCGTGTGACCGGAGGTGACCAGGCAGTGGACTTTAGCCGTTTCTTGATGATATTTGTTTGAGTAGTATCCTTCGGGAAATAGGAGCCTTCAATTACCGGAGGTGTTCCCGTGGGGAGCCCTCGACATGTTGTGATCTGCTGGAGTGCACTCTTTGATTTCTCGCTGAGTCTACTCCCCTTCACCCCCCCCCCCCCCCCCTTTTTTGTTGGTGGTGAAGGGAAGGCATCAAGAAACTTGGTTTCTTGGTAAGGCTGAGCCTATTAGGAGACCATCAGAATACACCAATGGCTCTCCTCCCTCGGGTTAACCTTCCGAGTTCCGAGGGGATCGAGGGTCGTTTCCTGGGCACAAGATATGGTGGTCCGTAACCTGCCTCCCCTTGGGGGATGGCGCGGAAAACGCCTCATTTTTGAAAGTCGTCCCCTCAGCGTTAGACATAGTCCGTGGCCTACCACACCCTTGGGGTGGTGGCACGGGGAGCGTTTCGGTTTGGAAGTCGAATCCTGGGCATTTCTCGTGCCTGTCATACCCTTGGGGTGATGACGCGGATAGCGTTCCGTTTTTGAAAGTCGAATCCTGGGCATTTCTCATGCCTGTCATACCCTGGGGGTAGTGACGCGGAAAGCGTTTCAAGGAAGGGTTTTCATTTGCACACTAGTTGCAAATGGCCGGGGGCACTACGTGCCGCCGGCACCGATGGTGGTGCCTTCGGTATATGCGTCCTCGTGGGGTACAGCTTTAGAAACAACACTTGGTGTTAGCTTCGATATATAGCCCTCGGTACTTGGTACCGAGGGGTCTTCTGTAGGAACACTTGGTGTTCTCCTTTGTTGTAGTTGATGGAGGTGTCTACCCTCGGTACTTGGTACCGAAGGGTCTTCAAATGAAACACTTGGTGTCTTGATTGGAGTGTTTGGTGCTGGAGGGCCCTCGGAGGAAACATTTGGTGTTTCCCAACAGATGTTTGGAAGCTGATAGGAGAGCATATCCCTGGCACTGGGTGCTGAGGGGTCTTCTTTGAAACATTTGGTGTTTTTCTTCGTTTTGATGTTGATGATGGAGGTGTACCCTCGGCACTGGGTGCCAAAGGGAAATAAAACACACGGCGTTCCTTGCCGTTGGTGACGGGAGTCCCCACCCTCGGTACTTGGTACCGAGGGGGCTTGTTCGAAAACACGTGGTGTTCTCCTGCTGGTGTAGGTGTTGATGGTGTCCGCCCTCGGCACTTGGTGCCGGAGGGGGTTCTTCTCGTGGTGAGGCCCGGGACCTGTAATCAGTATGAGGGCGTGGTGTCTTGAATGTGTCTTCATTCCTCAAAAGTGGAGGCCTTGGGCCATAGGATAGTACATTCATTAGTTATGAGGGCTTGGCCGCTCTTACATTATTGGTAAAATTTAACTAAATGGTGTACATTCCAGTGCCTAGGGACCTCTTTCCCGTTGGGGCGTTTGAGCTTGTAAGTCCCAGGTTCGATGATGGCTGCTATGATGTAGGGGCCTTCGAATTTTGGTGCCATTTTTCCTCCCTCGGTTGGTTGGCTGGCTTCCCTCCTCCGGAGGACATAGTCCCCCACTTGGAATTCTCTGGTGCGAACTTTGGCGTTGATGTAGCTTTTGACTTGCCTTCGGTAATTTTCCGCCCGGATGAAGGCCTGCTCCCGGCGTTCTGAAATGAGGTGGAGGTCGAGGGCCATATTGCTGTCGTTGACCTCGGGGTCATATTGGATCACCCGTCGGGTGGGAAGGGTGACTTCCGTAGGAGCTTTGGCTTCAAAACCGTAGCAGAGGGAGAAGGGTGTTTCACCTGTTGCTCGCCGAGGGGTGGTGCGGTAGGCCCACAGGATGTTGTGGAGTTCTTCCACCCAACCACCGCCCTCGGCCTCCAGCTTCTTTTTTAGGCCCTCGAGCAAGGTCCGGTTGGCATTCTCTACTTGCCCGTTGCCTTGAGGGTAGGCAACGGAGGAGAAGGTGTGTTTGATGCCCCATGCCTCCAGAAGGGCACAGAAGGGGGCTGCCTCAAATTGCGTCCCATTGTCGGAGATGATCTGCTGGGGGACGCCAAACCTTGTGAGGATGTTCTTGAGGACAAAATGACGGCACTTCGCCTCTGTGATACTGGCGAGGGGCTCAGCCTCCACCCACTTGGTAAAGTAGTCGATGGCCACAATGATGTACCTGTTGTTGGAGGTACCCCTCGGCAGAGGGCCCACAAGGTCTATCCCCCATCGAGAAAAAGGGACAGACGTGCTGATGGGGGCATAGTTGACCGCTGGCCTGCCGGGGGCTTTCTGGAAATGTTGACATGCGGTGCACCTCCGGGCAAGGTCAGCACAATCTCTGGCCATGGTTGGCCAGAAGTAGCCCTGGAGAATGAGCCATTGGGACATGGAGAAGGGTCCCTGGTGAGCTGAGCAAGTGCCACTGTGCACTTCCTCCATTGCGACCTCGGCCTCATCTTGATGAAGGCACCGAAGTAGCGTGCCATTGTAAGATCGTTTGTAGAGCCTTCCATCTTCGATGGTGTAGCTAGGAGCCCTCAGCTTCGCTAGTTTAGCGCGGGTCTCATTCTCGGGTAGCTGCCCTGTGGAGATGAAGACGATGATATCTGAGATCCAATCCTCTTGGCGTTGTTGTATGTTCATAACGGGGCTTGCATGGATACTTGAGAGGCTGAGTTCCTCAATTTTGGCAATTTTGGAGATGTGCTCGGGGGAGTCGGCCGAGAGTTTAGATAATATGTCGGCCTCGGAGTTCTGGGCCCTCGGTATTTGAGTGAGAGAGTGTGTCTCAAATACCTTGAGCAACTCCTTGGCCGCTTCCTTGTATTGTTTCATTCTTCCCTCCGTGGCCTCATATTCCTCGGAGATTTGGCCAACGACCAACTTGGAGTCGCATTTGATGTGGATCTGCCGAGCCCTCATGTTGGCAGCCAGCCGAAGGCCACATAGGAGGGCCTCATATTCGGCCTCGTTGTTGGAGACTTTGAAGGAGAAGCGGATTGCATGGTAGGCTCTGAAGCCCTCGGGAGTAATGAGGACTACCCCTCCCCCGCATGCTTTGGTCGCGGAGGAGCCGTCGGTGTAGAGGGTTCACCATTCGTCCGAGGTAGCCGAGGGCTCCCCGTCCGTGGCTGCCCTTGCGGTACATTCCGTCACGAAGTCCGCCAGGGCTTGGCCCTTGATGGCAGGCCTTGGACGGATGTCAATGTTGTACTACTGGCTAAAGAAGATAGCCCACTTCACCATGCGGGAGGAGCTGGTGGGGCTCCTCATGAGGGCGCCGAGGGGTTGATGAGTGAGGACCTGAACCGGGTGAGCCTGAAAGTAGTGGCCCAACTTCTTGACAGTCCAAACGATGGCTAACACCGTTTTTTCCATAGGGGAGTACCTCAGCTCGGCCTCCCTTAGGGTCTTGCTAACGTAGAAGATGGCATGTTGGATGCCGTCCTCCTCCCGAATGAGCACAGAGCTGATGGCCGCCGGGCTGACCCCAAGGTAGAGGTAGAGGGTCTCTCCTACCTTGGGTTTGGAGAGCACAGGGGGTGAAGACAGATATCGCTTGAGTTCGTCGAAAGCCCCCTGGCATTCTGAAGTCCATTGAAAACCAGCCGTCTTCCTCATGATTTGGAAGAAGGGTAAAGACTTCTCCGCTGATTTAGATAGAAAGCGGTTGAGGGCTGCCAGGCGGCCCGTCAACCGTTGAACCTCCTTCACATTTCGTGGGGGTTCCATGTCGATGATGGCCTGGATCTTCTCGGGATTGGCCTCAATACCCCTTCGGCTCACCATGTAGCCCAAGAATTTGCCCCCTTGGACGCCGAAGGTGCACTTCTTCGGGTTTAGCCGAAGGTTGAACTTCTGCATGATGGCGAAGATTTCCCGGAGGTCGTCAGCATGGCTGGAAGATTGCTTGCTCTTGACGATCATGTCGTCAACATAGGCCTCCATGGTGCGCCCTAGGACGGCCTGAAAGACTCGGGCCACCATCCGGGTGTAGGTGGCCCCCAAGTTCTTTAGGCCGAAGGCCATGACTAGGTAGCAGAAGATGCCCTCGGGAGTCATGAAGGCAGTTTTTTCGGCGTCTTCCTCGTGCATGAAAATTTGGTGATACCCTCGGAAGGCATCGAGGAAGGACATGATCTCACACCCTACGGTCTCATCCACCAGTTGATCAATATTTGGTAGAGGGAACGGATCCATAGGGCATGCTTTGTTGAGATCAGTGTAGTCCACGCACATGCGGAAGGTAGGGGGCTTCTGTGCGAGGACTACATTTGCTAGCCATGAGGGATATTTCACCTCCTTGATGTGCCTAATGGAGAGGAGCATGACGACCTCCTTCTTCACAAATTCCCTCCTCTCGGCGGAGAGGGGTCTTCTTCGTTGTTGCATTGCTTTTGCCGAGGGGTCCACCGAGAGGCGGTGGGTGATGACCCTTCGGCTAATTCCCGGCATGTCCTCCGGCCCCCATGCAAAGACGGTGGAGTAGGCGCGGAGGGCGTCGGTGATACCGGTCTTCAGATCTTCAGGGAGCTGGGCTCCAATCTTCACGACTCTCTCCGGCTGGGCCGGATCGAGCGCAAAGTCTTCTACGTCCTCGGCCGGTTCAGCCCTCGGCATTTTTTCTTCTTGGTCGATGGTTCCGGTGATGGTGTCAACACAGAATTCCGTCTTACTTACCTTCTTAGTGACTTGAAGATAGCAGGCGCGGGCGATTTTCTGATTCCCCCGGGAGTAGCCAATGCCCCCCTCGGCGGGGAACTTGAGGCAGAGGTGCCTCATGGAGATGATGGCCTCGAGGTCCTCCAGGGCTGGCCGGCCGAGGATAATGTTGTGGGCGCAGTCGATGTTAACGACGACGAACTCCACTTCGAGCTGGGCCCTATGGAGCCCGTCGCCGAAAATCACCGGGAGGGTTATTACCCCCTCGGAATCAATAGTGTCGCCGGTGAAGCCGGCAAGAGGGGTCTTAATGGGCCGAAGGGACCCCCTCTCCAGATGGAGCTCTCTGAAGGTGCTGAGGTACATTACATTGACGGAGCTGCCCGTGTCAATGTAAGTTCGGTGAATGATGGTGTCGCTTATTTCAGTCCGAATCACCAAGGCATCCCTGTGAGGAGAAGAAGTAGGAGGGAGATATGTGTTGGTGAAGGTGATGGGTTCCTCCCTCAGTCGCTTTACCGGGGGCATATGAGTGACTTCCCCCACGTAAAGCGATTGAGCCCACTTCTTTCGCTGGTTGGTGGAATCGCCCCCTGTATTGCCACCGGTGATCATGAGGATGTGGCGTTTTTTCTCCTGGTAGTGGGGGTACTCCCCCTCTTCTTCTTCCAAGTTTCCGATCTCCCTCTTCTTGCCGAGGGGGATGGTGTTCGGGTTTACCCAAGCGTTTACCTTCGTGTGGTGCCCTCGGGGAGGTCCCTGATGAGAAGGCCCCTCCTGCCGAGGGCTCTGAACGAATTGGGACAGGTGCCCCGCTTGTATCAACCTCTCGATGGCCGTCTTTAGCTGATGGCAGTCATCGGTTCTGTGCCCCTGGTGCCGATGGAAGCGACAATATGGGAACTGAGGGTTGATAGCATGTACCTCCGGGGGTGCGCGGGAATCGCGCTCAACGAGGCCCCTCTCCTCGGCAAAATCAAGGATGATGCTGACGGGGTGCGTCAATGGCGTCCGGGGGCGGTCCAGGAGAATGGGCTGTGCCCAAGTCTTAGGGCTGCTCTTATAACCTCCCCCGGGCTTGGCTTGGCCTTGCCGAGGGCGGTCATCAGAGGGTCCTGAAGGTTTGGGGTGATTCGGAGGAGCCCCCGGCCCTCGGTTGTTTTTGTTGTCAGCCCTCGAGGGCTGCTGGTCCGGATGCTGGTGATATTTTTCCACCTCCTCGGCCTCAGCATATCGGTCCCCCCGCTGCAAAGCCCTTATGTAGTCGCGGGGGGGTTCAATGATGAGGCTCCTTGAAAAGTTGCCGGTGCGGAGGACGGTTTGTAGGAGGGCCAGGAGGGTCCCGTCATCAGCACCGTCGACTTTGTCGGCTTCGGTCCTCCAGCACTCCAGGAAGTCCCGAAGGGTCTCATCCCTCTTTTGGCGTATTGTTAGGAGGTGGGAGAAGTGCTTCCTTGTGCGATGCCTCCCGGCAAATTGTGTCAAGAATCGCTGGGCGAGTTCTTGCCATGAATCAATGCAGCCCTCGAGCAGCCTGTTGAACCATTCGTATGCCGGCCCCTCTAAGGTGGAGAGGAACCAACGACACAAATATTCGTCTGACGCCCCTACCATCATCATGCTGTTCTGGTATTTGCTGTAGTGTTCTTGGGGGTCCGTTTTCCCGTTGTAGGGCTGTATGTGTTGCCCTCGGTATTTTTCCGGGATCCGGGCTGCCAATACCCTTGAGGTAAATGGCGTCCGAGCCCGGAGCTGGATGACGGGTTCTCCGGAGCCCTCGGCCACCTTCTTCTGTAATTCCTCCATTTTGGCCATCATGGCCTCGTATTTGAGGTCTGAGTGAGGGGTGGAGGTGGTGGCGTGAGCTTTGTTGGACTCCATTTCGTCAAGCCGGCGTTGGAGGGCCACAATAATCTCGTCCCGGGGATCCTTCGGGAGGGTCTCCGCCCCCTGCGAACGAACCCGGGCCGAGTGGGCCTGGTTGATCTGGTGGCGAGCATCATTGGCATGAAGGGGTGCCTTGCCTTTGTCCCGAGGGGGACGCTCCTCGTCTGCCCTCGAGACAGACCCTCCGCTTTCCTGGGGCCTTTGGAGTGTTTTCCCTCCGAGGCGGTTTTGGACCCCTCGGCGGTCTGGCCCTCCTCCGAGCCGGTTGAGGGCGGAAGTGTGGGGCCTTTCTCTGTCGTCATGGTGGCGGTCCCGGGACTGAACTTCCTGGGAGGACGTATCTTGGGCTGCTACCCCTTCGTCATTCCTAACCCGAGGGAGGGGGTTGCCGAAGGGGTGTGGCAGAGGGGGAAGTATGATGTTCTCCCCAACCTGGGGTTGAGCCGGAGCCAGGGTGCCGAAGGCACCCGGGTTCTGAGTGAGCGTTTGGATGAAGGCGGAGAGCGCCGATTGCACGTTGATGGTGAGAACCGGAGGGCTGACTTGGTCATCGCTCCGGTTTTTCTTCTTGGCCTCGATGCCGAGGCGGGCATCTGGGGCATTCTGTTGGATCTGAAGGCGTAGGTCGACAGCCGCCTGTTCCAGCCCAGCGATGACACCGCCCTCGGGAGCCCTGTGAGAGGCTTCGGGGGCGTTGACGTCGCCGAGGGCCAGGTTCTTGTCTTCTACGTTTTTGGAGTTGGCACGGGTAGTTCTCACCATTTTGGTAGAGGGCTAGTGTTTGGCGAAGGGGGAGGGTTTCTTACTCGATTGTTCGACCTCTCAACGAGAGCACCAAATGATGGATAGTCTACCCGGGGGGTATATATCCGAGGGGTTATTGCTGGGAATAACTTAGAGAGAAGTTAGAGCAAGTAAATGTAGAGAGAGAGAGTGTATTATAAATGTGGAGCGTTTTCAGCGTGGTTACAAATGGGGAAATGGGGTGCTATTTATAGTAGCAATAAATGTCGGGCAGGGACACGTGTCAAGCACCTATTGGCCGAGGGGTCACCTCAACTGGTTGGCGTTGGCAGCCGCATGTGGCCGCATTTAATGCGACTGTTGGATGGGACGTCTGTACAGGGTACGGTGATCTGTACGCATGTGAGGCGGATATCATGTCGGGAGAGGTGCCCTCGGCTGCAGAGGACTAGCCGAGGGCTCTTAGTGCCGAGGACCCCTGAGTGCCGAGGGCTCCAGGTGCCGAGGGCTACTGTTTTCGCCGTTTTCTCCCAGTTTCTTAGTTTGCCTGGAAAACCCATTCTGTGAGAGTTTAGAGCCTTCGGCCAGGGGGCCGAGGGAACCCCTGGTGCGTATTGCGGGCTGCTTGGTACTCTGGGCGCCGTGATTTGGGCCTGTTGGGCCTTCATTGGTGTAGTAGGAGTCTATGGACCGGGTGTTCCCGGGCCATATACTCCATCACTTTTCAAGTAATACATTTTCAGTTAAGTATGAATAGATCCCCCTGAGGTACAACCAATATAATTTTCAGGTAATGATAATGATAATGAAAACAACAACATATGGTCTGAAAATAACCTCACTGGTCCTCATAAACACTTAGAGTGATTTTGTGAACTATTATAATTGAGCTCCACTGCTTTGTACTACCTCCGTCCCATTAGAACTTAGAAGGTTCATGTCCAATATTCATATGGTCAACTAAAATCATTTTTAATCTTTTGTTTTATATATCAAAATTTTATCACATTTACTTTTTTATCAGGCTTTGTAGCGGTTTTGACGTAGTTTCTGGATATGTAAATTTTATTTACTAAAAATAATCAGAGTGTGAACATGGATTAAGTTGCTTTATCGTCAGTCAAACATCGTAAACCGTTACGGGAACCTTCTAGCGGGATGAGGGGAGCAGTAAACTTCATATAAAACCCGCTTACATAATTCTTACTCCCCCCGTCCCTTAAAACTTTGCCATCTTTCCTTTTTGGGACGTCCCAAAAAACTTTGCCACTTTCCCTTTTAATCAATTATTTTGTGGTTTCTGTTATTTCTCTCTCCTCTGCACAAACCTCAACCACACAGTTTTTATTTTATTATTCTCCGTGCCGGTCAACTTTGGCAAAGTTTTATTTATTAATTCTTCTTCTTCTTCTTCTTCTTCATCATCATCATCATCATCATCATCATCATTAACTATTAGCCCAAAATATATATAAGCTTTCTTTTCATATAGTGTCCTTCTGAAATTCTTTTTCAGTCAAGATTATTGAACTCCACAAAAATATGAAAAGAATACTACAGGTGTTGTCTAAAATACTACTACCTCCGTCCCGTTGGAAGGTTCCCATAGCAAAACGGTACATTTATTTAGGCAATAATTAAATAAAGTACTTCGAGTACATTTTGAGAAATAATTTTAGTAGGTATATATTATAATGTAGTTAGTATTGATAACTGTGATGTTATAAATTTATTATTTTTAATATTTAATGATTAATTTGTCACTTAAGACTGTTAATTGTTTCCTAAAATGGAAATGAGAACCTTCTAACGGGACGCCCAAAAAAGGAAAGTGAGAACCTTCTAATGGGACGGAGGGAGTAATTTTAATGGCAAAGGTTTTGTTTGTGCTGCACAACTGTATTTAGTGTGCTCTAGTTACTTTCAGAGTTCAAATATCCATGTCATTTCTAAATTTGTTATAGAATCAAATGTTATTATGATCCGCGGTCTGAGGTCCGTAATTGGAATGAATTAATGGAATCATTTTCATGAACTTTATAATAAACTTATATTATTAGGTTAGTTATGCAGCAGAAAATTAAAATTTACTTCACATATTCATGCGGCGTATGTTGTGTGTCCTAGCAGCTCTAAAGTTCACCGGTAGTGCATGACACTTTTTCCATACGGTTCTATAAGTTGTTCTTATTGCAGGAATGCTCCAACAATAAGCAGTATAAAGCTGTTGGCTAGACATGATGCACTTAATAGACAACAGATCCTAATTCTTAAGTACATGTTGGAATGTGATTTAAATAGCTTGTGTGTAATAACCATTACTCGAATTTGTTATAGGGCACACATAGCACACAACTCACATTTTGTCGCTTTCTTATCGACTCTTAAATGACTTTTACATATAGCGTACCTTTGGTTATAATCTTGATAAGAATGTGTTATCAAAATGGGTGCTGCTGCAGCTTAATCTAATAAAAGTGAGATCGTATATGCACTAATAGCTTGGATCTAATCCTTTCTTGAGAAATCGGATACACCATTGAGAATTATTTATTGATTGTAATTTGTAGGGTTGGATTCGATTCGGGTCCCGAACCGATTCGGTATATACCCGAACCGAACCAATAATTCGGTTTACCAAATTATCAGAATTGAAACCGAACCGTACTACAAACGGGTACCGATTTTTGGTACCTGATTTTTTCGGTTCGCTTTACCAGAAACCGAAAGAAACCGACAAAAGTGTAATAAATAAGTTTGAACTAACATTCAATTGACTAAAGCCCATTGGAACATGCCAATATTTGATCCCGATTAGCACAATGGAAGCCCAGAACGTAACTTAACTTCCTAGAACATATCTTGACATTCTACACTAAAGGGACCTTATTTATATTGAAGTTTTGGAGAATGAAGCTTCTCATTTCCCGGTATGGGACAAGATTAAAGAGAATATACAAAGAAGCTGAAAAAACAAAAAATAACCCAACTGCGGGAATCGACCACGCGACGTAAGGAAGAGGACAAGCGCTGGATAACCAACTCGGCTACTCTTCAAGAAGGCTAAAATTATACTCGGTTTAGTATTATACCTTCATTAAACGTCATTAATTACTATTGTTATTATAAATAACAATTATTATTATCAATATAAAAATGTCGGTTCGGTTCGGTCCGAACCGATATTTTGTGCACATAAACCGAACCCGAACCAATTTTTTTCGGGTCCCGATTATTGGGACCCAATTTCGTTCGGTTCGGTCCGGTTCGGTTTTTTTCTAAAGCGGTTCGGTTATTTTCGGTTCGGTTTTCGGTTTTTCGCTTCAAAATACCAGCCCTAGTAATTTGTTATATAGTTTTCATAGATGACCCTTCGTTGAACATGTTTAATTAATTAATAAATTATAGTTAAAGTAGAGTAATCGTTGTACATGTTTAATTAATTAAAAAATTAAATACATTAATGATAAATAAGAATATGTAAGTTACGGAGTATTATTTAGTCACTTCATTCCCGTGCAACGCACGGGTGAAATGGTAGTATTAAGTAAAGAGTCGTCAAACCATTTGGCGACTTATAAGTCGCCAAACGGTTTGGCGACTTTTCCCAACCAGGGTTAAGCCCAACAGTATATTGGTAAATAGTTTTAACTCAACATTAATTCCGTAATTAATTAATTAATTAATTAACATTAATTCGGGAAAAAATTCTTTTTTAATATTTTAACTTTCAAAATTAAAGCCCATAAGCTTTTAAAATTAAGGGATTTTTTTGGCATTATTTACAATTAGGGAAATTAACTATTAACCCCCTCAGGTTATATCATAATTATTAATGCAACCTTGCATTTTTAAAAATCAATTACTTACCCCCTCAATTTGGATCATTCTCGTTCTTTGCCCCCTCACGTTAATATTTGTTAAATTTAAATTTAATATAATTCTTAAATACAATTTAAAATGTCTATAAAATTAATTTCTATTGTAAAACACAAATTAGTATCATAATTATAAGTCATTGTTGTTGATCGTAGTTAATAAAAAATTTAAAACACAAATTAGGTCTTAGATTGTCAGCTTTCAATTATATAGATCATGGAATAATTGGAATAATCATCAAACATTTTATCTTTTAGGTCCCTTATTGATATTAAACCTATATTTCAGGTCATGGAATATAACAAAATCTTAGTATTCCTTTTTTGCTACACGTGAAAAGAAATGTCATTGCGATTAATTCAACCGAATGAATTACAAATAAGACTTGTATATTCATAATGAAGAAAGCCTAGAATTTTGATAACACATTTTATAAACAATTCTTTTTATGTATCCCATGAATATGACTCGTGAATCTTCCCCTTAACTTCTCTCATTAATTGTTACTCCACGATCGAGTAGTTAAGTAGAAAACAAATGATCATCAACAATGACTTATAATTATGATGATAAATTGTTTTATATTTTAAAAATTAATTTTAAATACAACTTTCATTGAACTTAAGAGATATTAAATTTAATTTAACAAATATTAACGTGAGGAGGTATTTAGTGAGAATGATCAAAACTTAGGGGGAAACTAATTGATTTTTGAAAATGCAAGGATGAATTAATAATTGCGATATGATCTGAGAGGCCTAATAATAATTTGGGGAATTTTGAGTTTGCATCCCATTTTTTGGATGATATTGGTCTTTACACCCTATTTTCAAAACTTTTAGATTTTGCACCCTATCTACAACATTTTGTGAAGAAATATTCTTGAATGGGGTGCAAAGGCAAATAAATTTTAGGGAAAATAGGGTGCAAAGTCTAAAAGCTTTGAAAATGAGGTGCAAAGTCCAATATTACCTCAAGAAACGGGGTGCAAAATCAAAATATCCCTAATAATTTTCCTTGCAATTATTTACAATTGCACTCACACTGGAACTAGGAAGGGCTCTACATGCCGTATAGGAGTGTTGCCGGATTTGTATGTTCCGGAAGAAGAAAAGCTCAGACACTTTTAGAAATGGCGAATAGCTACGTGAGAGAGAATGCTCTCCTATCGAGATTAGGAGTGTTGGTGGCGCAATTAGAATCCATAGTCTCCTCTGCTGCTCACAAGCCTCCCGACCCTCTTCTCTGCTTTGATCTCCTCTCCGATCTCATCTCCGCCATCAACGAGGAGCCCAAGGTCATTCTTTCCTCTCATATTTCTCTTTAGACCCCTTGCAAATCAATTGCTTTCATATGCCACTGTACTAGCCCTTCCGAAGTTATGTACATTTCCTTGACACTGCTGTATGTTTCCACAATTATCTTCTCTTATTTTGTACAGGTGTTAGCAATAAGCAAGTAAATCCAATATAAATATTTAATTTTTGATGCTTAGTCAGGAAATGTGAACTTTGAGGCAATATATTTTGTTGGGGGATTGTGTTTTTTTAACTGACTAGTAGACACTTTTAACAAAAGTTGTGGCCTTTCTTATGAAAAGCCTTTTAGTTTCATACTTTAGCCAGATATATGAGAACGCTACTAGAGTGTGCACTGGTTTACTAGTTGTGTTTTGTCACCTGATGTTACTTTTATGCATAGATCAATTGGGCTAGATCTCATTTCAGATGATAATTTCGTGCATTATAGTGCATGAACTCAAGTTTTGTGATCCTGATATCCGTAGTTCAGGAATCGATACTGCTGTGTCAGAGGAAATGTGAGGATGCTATTTATTCTCTTCTTCTTCTTGGTGCAAGAAAGCCGGTCCGACACTTGGCATCTTTAGCTATGGTGAGGGTCATACAAAAGGGTGATGCCATTTCAATCTATTCCAGAGCAAGCAGCTTGCAGGGATTTCTCTCAGACGGAAAGAAAAGCGAGCCTTTCCGAGTTGCTGGTTGGTCATTCTAGAATTTGCAATTTCATCAATAGTCAGTTTATTAGTCACATTTTTTTAATGGTCAGGGACTGAGAATAATATAACGTGTATGATGGTGATGCCAATTTCTCCGTCATAGACCACAACAGGTTCTTGTATTTCAACAAGGAGACCTGAAGACAACCTGTTTGAGTTATTATTGTTTGCACATTGAATTCGATATTATGTAGGATGTTTTTAGTTGGACTTATTTCAGTTCATAGACCAGACCTAAACATACTAGAACAAGACTAGACTTCGATAGTTATAATATATACAGAGACCAGAAATTTATGAAATTTATGAGACCATACCAAATCAAACATAAATAGACCAGATTAGATCAGAAAATTCCAGTCCAATTAAAAACTTTCGTAGTAGTACACCTTGTTTCTATTTATATTCTATTGTTTCCTTTCCTTTCTATGATGTTTATATGGTGACTGCATGCCACTCATTTTATTCTATGTACACTGTAGGTGTGGCTCAGTGCTTGGGTGAATTGTATCGGTATTTTGGGAGACGGATCACATCTGGATTACCTGAAACAACTGTACTTCTCACAAAAATTATGAAGTTTAACGAGGTAGTTAAGCATCAAAGTGGTTGTAATTAATATCTAGTTCATTTATTAGGTTGTAACACCAACATTCCTTTTCACTATTCATTCAAAGATTTTAGTAGTTCATGACTTCATGCACTAGAGTAACAACAACAACATCCATGCCTTAATTCCAAAAGAGTTTGAGGTCAGCTCACATGAATCAACATATGACATCGGAGCTGAAAACAATAAAGGGAGAAAAAAGGAGACATACAAATTCAGATCAATCATGCACACATATTTTCTCCCCCTACTCCGCTCTCTCCAACGTGACACTGCCATATAACCCAAAAAGTACCGTATCATTCTTGACCACTCTAATCCTCCTCTCCTCTCCTCTCCTCTCCTCTCCTCTCCTCTCCTCTCCTCTCCTCTCCTCTCCTCTCCTCTCCTCTCCTCTCCTCTCCTCTCCTCTCCTCTCCTCTCCTCTCCTCTCCTCTCCTCTCCTCTCCTCTCCTCTCCTCTCCTCTCCTCTCCTCTCCTCTCCTCTCCTCTCCTCTCCTCTCCTCCCCTCCCCTCCCCTCGTTAGGGACCTACATAGAATAATAAGAAATAAGAAGAGTATTAGAATTAGTATAAATAGAGGTGGAGGGGAGAATAGAAAGGAGGCTGGAATTATCCTTTGGGCTTGGGACTTGGGACTTAGAAGTTAGAACTATCTTGTATCTTCTCTTTCTATTTTGGAAGATATTGGGAAGGACGAGGCGCAAAGATGAGGAAGAAGCGGTTCGTCAGGACTGTCTCCTATGACCCACCTTGAGGACAAGGTGGTTGTCAAAGGGGGAGTAGTGTTAGGGACCTACATAGAATAATAAGAAATAAGAAGAGTATTAGAATTAGTATAAATAGAGGTGGAGGGGAGAATAGAAAGGAGGCTGGAATTATCCTTTGGGCTTGGGACTTGGGACTTAGAAGTTAGAACTATCTTGTATCTTCTCTTTCTATTTTCTGTTATACGAAGCTTTCTATTGTTACGCACGTATCTTCTCTT